TAGACAGTTGCTTTGCATGTCAGCTGCCACCCCTGTCAAGTTCTGGCTTCTCTTAACTTCTCAAAGGCTTGACTTGAGTGCTCAGTATCACTTCAAAATCTTGTCTGTAAGTTTGTGCAATGATTTGGGGATCCACAACACTGATTTCTCCTAAAAAAAAAAAGTTTATTATGCAGTACCTCTCCATTTAGAACTCTCCTTTTATTGAGAGAGGGTCAAGTTCATCTGATGTGGTCCTGGGTTTAAGCAGGGGTTCTGCAGGATCACATTCAGCCCTGCACTCCCAGGCTGCTACTTGCCAAAAACAAAGATATCTGAAAGACAGATTTTTCTATCACTCCAATGTCAAAATGGTGTTTTGTTTCATTGTTCTTGAGTGAGTGAACGTGGTATCAGACAAATTCTTCTGTGCAAAATTATCTCTTTGTTTCAGCCACTACATTTCCGGAGCACTCAATCTAAAAGGCTTCCAATAAAAAGGACAGAAGATATGGAATTTGGCACATATCTGTTTATGAAAACAGACCAGTGAATATTCCCAGATATAAAAATGCACACATTCTCCATTTAAAATCCTCCAAAGGGCGCTTGAGATAGTTTAAATGTTTCATTCTTTGCTTGAGAGAGAAGACTAGTGGGAGAAGAAAGATTTTCACTCTCATGGAAGTAATTACAAACAACAAACATCAATTCCCAGATGTTTTTTATTTGCTTCGCTATTTTATTTTCAAAGAATCTGAAGTGCACTTGGCATCTTCTTTGTATTGCCTTTGATTGTGTGCAGCGCTGGCCTCTTATCTCCTCCTGGATTCACAGCCGCATCAAAGCGCTGACATTCGCAAATGCCACGCCAGAACTATGATAAGGACCTGGACCGCGGGGCCAGAAATAGCCCGTGTTCCCTCCAAAACTGAGGTGCCGGAGCAGAGATGGCACGGGGACGGAGCAGTCACCAGCAGAGGGAGCAGCAAAGCCGGCTCAGAGGTCCCCAGATCGATGGCACTCAGGATTTGGGGAGTTTTATCGCTGGGTTAGAGATTTGTAAGAAGAAGTCCCAGGGGAAAAAAATAGACACTTTTTTTGTCCAGTGAGAGCTAGGAAAAGGTGATGCTGTTTCTGTCGTCTAATGGCAACACAGACGGAGAGAGACAGGTTTCAGTGTTACTCCTGTTTATATCAGCATTGTAAATGCTCACACACCATGTCCCAGGCTGCAGCGGCAGCAGGGACCTGGGAGGGAGGAGTACAGGGCAGTGAGGGCTGGAGGAGTCTCCCTTATCCGTCCCATCTCCATGCCATCAGTCAAAAAGTGTGAAAGGCAGAAGAGCTAAGGACCAATGAAAGATTTGTCCAGTGCTTTCCAAGGGCAGTCCAAACAGCACCTCCCAGCAAAATCAAGTGGGAAACTCACCGGTGCCAGTGTTCCCCCCTTGACATCGAGCTGGGTTGTGCTCCCAGCTCACCTAACCCAAGCAGCACCACGGCAGTCCATCCTGGCAGCAACAATCCAGCCACTGCTTGACTGAGACAAGCCCTAATTTTATTTAATCTCTGTGAAGTGAACAGACCCCACCTCACCTATCTTATGGGCAAGCAGAGAGGGAGAAAGCAGCTATATACTCAAAACAGGCCTTTACATCAAACTGTGACAGCTGAGACACATCAGGCATGTCAAGATATGCACTGGAAGAAAGCTAAGAAAGCAAAGTGCCCTTAGGTTGGGTGCCAGCCACCACACAGGGGTCAAGGATGCAGATGCAACACACAGGGGTGTGCATTCCCCAAATCCTGGTAGGGAGTTTGGGTACTGTGCCCCTTTTGCTCAGCAGGAAGAAAAGTTTGAGTGGAGAGGGCACATGAGCAGCTGTAAGTAGATGCACAACCATGGAATTTGCTCCAGCTTCATACTCAAGGTCCAGCATAAACTGGAAAAGCATCAGGATTTCCTGAAATCACCCCCATTCTTGGGCATGGGACAGGCAGAGCATCACTGCAGCCATGTGACACTCAGCTCCTGCTGCAGGGGGAGTGAGTTGTGCTGAGACAGCGAGGCTAAATTTACCCTGCCCTGGGACTCTGACGCGCAGTGGGCAGAGCAGGTTTGGGCGCGTGGGAAATGTGAGGGTTTTTGAGATTCTGGCAAAGCCCCAAAGTGGCTGACTCATTCCTCCTCTCAGGTCAGTTGTTCACAGCTGTAACTCCGGTGAGACCAGTGGGTTATTTCTGATGCACATCGCTGTATGATCACAGCCCAGCCCATTACCCTTGCTGGTGAAGGATGCTCCTGTCTCCACTGGGCTTTATTTAGCTTCCGCTTCAAAGCTACTCCGTAAGAGGCAAACAAATGTGAAAAGGGTACAGCATTTCCTTTTGTTGGAGGCTCCCCATCTTGAGTTATCTGGTGACTTTGAACTTGTTAGAATCAATGAACTCTTTATAATCAATGCCCTGTCCTCTCTCTCAGCTGTACACACCATACAAATTCGTCATTTTCTGCTAGAGATGACTTGGCACTTGTGAGTTGTGTCAATGGATGCAACAGCAGATTCATTCTAATTATATCGAACCATTGATCAATTTAGTAATCTAGTCTTTAAGTTCTGCTAAGATTCCTTAGCAGTAAATCATGAGGGTTACAAATAAAGTGCTTGGGGGAGAAAAAGAAGTGTATTTATTAACTTGACAATTTGGAAGGTGACTACCTGAACAGAACAAGTCCTGGCACATTTCTGCACTCTCTTCTCTTGTATTCTGTTAATACCCTACTAAAAATATTGACTTAAACACCTCCATTCTTTGTTTTCTGTATAGGGAGGCTGGCAGAGGCTGGCAAGGGCTTGAGTGCATGGAGATTTCCAATTGCTAGCTCCAACCATGGCCTGTGTAGTTGCCTGTTTGCCACAGATCTATTTGCTTGTGGAGCAGCTGTGAAATTGCAGCAGCTTTTAGGTGTCCATGAGAGTATCTGTGCATTTCGCTGCATGGAATAATGTGTACCTTGCACTCTGGGCAACACTCTGAAATTAGTTTGTAGAAGTTGTTTGTCTCTGAAGACCTATAAATACACATACATAAAACTATAAGGGAATGAGCAGTCACATGTTTAAAGCAAATTCATTCTCATGCAGAAGAGTTTTATACGCTGATCATATTTCCCTGCCCCCGAAATGTGTTTCCACTGCTGATCTTTCTTTCATTTCACGTAAGGCTGACCAAAAATATTTACTTTATTCTTTCACACACATGAACTAAAATGGATTGGGAATTTCCCGGTGAAATCAAGGACATTCACCATTCAGTGACAAACAGCTTCCACATGGGCTGTATTTGTTACCTTGCTCTCTCTCAGAGAAGGCAAAGAAAGAGAATAAAAATTAAACACCTCGAGCAGAGGTATCAGTTACTCTCACCAAGCATCTTCCCCTGTGATTCACTGGCATCCTCTGAGCAGCTCCAGTCAAAAGCTTCATTTTACAAAACAACCTTGCCCCCCAACCAAACCCTTCCACTTTTCAAGTGATTCTTTCCACGACTCACTCTTCCCATTCCTTCAGTTTAATAGAAAAGACCAAAGGTTGGGTTCCTTTGGGAACACTTCTCGCTTGGGTGGGGTTAACCTTTGGTGTGCCAGGCTCTGCCAGAGCCAGGAGAGTGGGTGATGTTAGAGCAGAATTGAAGCGCCTAGGTCCCTCCTTGCCCTGCTGCGGCTGAGCCCAGGGACCCCAGGAGAGGAGGAGAAGGGGAACATCGAGAATAATCCACGACTGGACCAGTCCCGCCCTGTCCATGCCCGGTGCCTGCCCGGCCCTGGCGGAGCTGTCCCTTCAGCACCCCGGCCGGGCCGGTCGGGCTCTTGGCGCCTGGTGGGAGGGGAAGCTGGCACGGTTCGGCTCGGCTCAGTCTACCCCGGCCCGGCCCGGGCAAGGACTAGATTTGGCTGAGCCTATCCTGGCTCTGCTCGGCCCGGCTTGGCTCGGCTCGGGCAGGGGCTCAGTCCATCCCGGGCCACCCCAGGGTCGGGGGCTCCTCTGCAGTGCAGGGCAGGACTGGGGGAAGGGGTGTGTGGAGGGGTGTGAAGGGGTGCGGAGGCTGAGCCGCCCCTGCGTGTGCGGAGAGGGGTCGGGGAGTGCAAAGCGGGCGCGGACACGCAGAGGTGTGGGAGTGGGTTGGAAGTGGAGGTGAGGAGCGGGGCGGGTGGATGCTCAGGGTGCCTGCGGGTGTGCGGGACACCTGTAGGAAGGTGCGTGCAGCCGAGTGCGTGCAGGGGGAGTGTGCACGGGGTGTGTGTGTGCGTACAGACCTGCGTGTGCGCTGGAGGGGGTGTGTGGAGTCTGTCGGGGGTCCGTGTGTGTGTGCGCGGGGGTCGCAGGACAGGGCTGTGCGTGCGTGCGGGACTGTGTGCGGGGCTGTGTGCGCGTATGCGGGGTGCAGCGTGTGCGGGGCTGTGTGAGTGTGCGGGTGTGCACCGTGTGTGGGGTGTGCACCGTGTGCGGGGTGTGCACCGTGTGCGGGGCTGTGTGAGTGTGCGGGTGTGCACCGTGTGCGGGGTGTGCACCGTGTGCGGGGTGTGCACCGTGTGCGCGGCGCGGGGAGGTTGCCGGGCTGGCGGTGCGGTGGGTGCGTGGGTGCGAGCACGCGCGTGTGGCAGCGGGTCGGGCGCTGCCGCCGCGCACACGGACACGCGGACACGCGGACACACGGACACGCTCACACACACGCACGCACGGCAGAGCTGCCGGCGGGAGGAGCCCGCCCGCCGTCCGCCCGGTGAGTGCCGCCGCGCCGCGGGAGAGCGGGGAACCGGGGGGGACCGGGGGTTTGGGACCAGCCTGAGGTCCGGCAGCGCGACTGCGGGACACGCAACTTTCCCTGGAGGGAGCGGGGGAAGTGGCGGCGAACCGGGGATGGGGCTGCTCTCCGGGATGGGGGGTACCGGGGCGCCTTCCCGGTTCTCCCACCGGAGGCGCCGTCTCGCCGCGGCCGAACACGGGGCTCCCGCCGGGCTCGGGGCTCCCGCCGGCCCCACCGCCGCTGCCCGGACCGCTGCCGGTGCCGCTGCCCAGCCCTCCCGCCCCGCGCTACGGCCGCTTCCCAAGTAAGTTGCGGGTAAAGCAATTGCTGGTCCGGCAGGTCCTCGCGAAGGGCACTGCCCCGAGTGCCCGCTCACCCCTTCTCTCCGCACCCTCTCTTGCAGGCAGGGCTGGTCCCGGCTCGCCATGCCCGGAGCGCTGGGAGCAGCGCGGCAGGCTCTGCCCCGTTAGCCCAGGGCGCCCGGGGGGCCTCAGCCATGGATTCGTCCCCCCCTATCCCCGGGGCCCCCCCTGGACTTCTGCAGGTCTGGCAGGAGGAGAATCAGACCCAAGGCGGGCTCTGGAATGGGAGCCAGGAACTGGGGTGGGAAGAGCTGGAGAAGATGCTCTTCCTCTTCGCGAAGGAGCCCGTCACCATCAGCCTCACAGTGATGTACCTGGTGTCCTTTGTGGTGGGATTCGTGGGCAACATCATGTCCATCAGGGTGCTGACCCGCAAGCGCCGGAGTCGGGTGTCCAGCCTGAGTGCCACCCGCAGCCTCCTCATCAACCTGGCGGTGTGTGACCTCATGGTGGTGTGCATCTGCATGCCCATCACCGTGGGCAACCTCATCTACAAAGCCTGGGTGTACGGGGACTTCCTCTGCCGGGCAGTGCCCTTCATCCAGGCTGTTTCTGTCTCCGCCAGCGTCCTCAGCCTGACGGTGATCAGTGTGAACCGGTACTACAGCGTGCACAACCCTCTCAACGCCCGCTCTTTCTTCACCCAGAAGAGGATCCTCAGCACCATCCTGGTGGTGTGGTTGTTGTCCTCAGGGATATGCATGCCCCTCATCTTCATGAACAAGCGGGATGAGATTGGGGTGGTGGAGGGCTTGCCCCTGGTGTTTTCCATCTGCAGGGAGATCTGGCCTCAGGAGAGGCTCAAGCAAGCCTACAACTTTCTGCTCTTCTGTGCCCTCTACTGCCTGCCAGTCCTGTTCAACATGGCCATCTGCTTCCTGACGGTGCGCCGGCTGTGGAGCCGCGGCAGCCAGCTGAAGGAGAGCTCCGCCCTGAACCGATCCCTGCCGGCCTCCAGGCTGAAGGTCCGCAGGAAGGTCGCACAGATGGTGGTGGCCCTGGTCCTGCTGTTTGCCATCTCCTGGCTGCCCGTCTACCTGATGGACATCTGGATTGATTTCAACATCCCCAAGTCTTTGCAGGATGTGACTCCTTCTCCTTGGATCCTGCAGCTCAGACCTTTTGCCCAGTGGCTTGGCCTCACCAATTCCAGCCTCAACCCCATATGCTATTGCTTTGTTGGGAACCTCTACAGATCAGCCAAGGAAATGAAGAGCAAATACCACCAAAGAATGGTCTCTCTCTTTAACTTCTCTCTGTCTGAAGGGGCAACTCGTTCCTCGGTCCCAGAGCTGCTCTCTTACCCGAGTTCAGTGGAGCCAGCAAGGAAAGGACCCACCACTACCCCTGCCCTGGGCAGGAGATGTCAGGGAGGTCATGGCCATAAGAACAAGTGTGGACAGTTGAACTCCTGCCAGCATCCACCTCTGAACACTGTCTCCAGTGAGAACACTTCCTTGTAATTCTGCTCAGGAAGTGCCTCTCATACCCTCATCTGCATTTGAGGACTCTAGAGGTCTTTCCAAACCCGGTATTTTAATGATGGAAGAGAACTTGATTGTAATAGCTCTCGACACAGGTTCAAAAGTACTGTGACAGGGAAAGAAACAGGTAAAGAGAGAAAAAGATGATGTATTTTAACTCAGATCAAATTTTAAGACAAATGATTTTTACTGGGGACAACTGGATGTGTAGCCCGTTGCCCAGTCAACAGTCACATTAATTAGATAGATCAAGTTCCCAACGAGTGAGCTCTCCCTGCAGCTCCAGCTCTGGATGCAGAAATGCTGTTTGGATACAGCAACAATTTGACTGCTTGCTGCTGCTCACCCTTGATGATGAAGAGCAGTGATAAGAGGCACTCTCTGCTCCAAATCCATCAGTTGTAGTTGTAAGCAGTGAAGAAAAGCTGGAAACAGCATCATAAAAAGTAATATAGATGGAGAATTTCACGCATTTTACCACTTGAGATTTCATTGTCTGATCGTATTGTTTCACTCCTCCATGCAAATAAATTCTCCTTATGTGAAGAGACAGTGCCAGAAGTACTAAAGAAACCATCACCACTCCACATTTGGGAATTCAGAAGGGATAATGTGGCTTCAGAGGTGATTTAGGAAATGCAATAGGAAAATATTTTTTGGGCATCAGCTCTCTTTCTTACAGTTCCTGTGTGTGGAGTGGAAAGAACTGGGCATCTATTAACATGATTTGCACTTGAAAAACCAGCCTTGTTCAGCTGTGTCTGTACCAAACAAAGTCAATGGCATGTGAAAATAAAAATAGAAAGTGGTTTATAGCTAATAAAATCAGAAACAATGAATGCAATGCTATTTGTCTGGGAAGGAACAAATCAAAGTGCTTGCTTTTCCTGAGGATCACAAGTATGTTAAAACCTATTTCTTCCCTCATCTCCTTTAAAGGAGGCTTTGATAAATAAATTGTGTATTTTTATTATGTTAGCATCGAAAGGCTCCAGTAAGGCTTGAACATTCTGTTGTGCTGAGCACTGGATCTGTATTCATAAAGAAAAGAGACCTTTCTCCCCAAGATCTAAGTGAGAACACATCAGACCAGTCAACAGCTAGGAGGAAAAAAGGGTACAAAAGAGCCAAAAGGCTGGAATGAAACCAGAGATGAGCCCCTTCCCCATGCCTGGCCAATGCCAGATGTGAGGGGACGTGCATCATCCCCTGGTGCCAGAACAGCCCATACCCTGGCTACGTGTGCCCCAGCACTCAGCACAGCTTCTCTCTCCTCTCAGCAAACCACAGACCCAACACAGCAGTGTCCCTGGGAGAGTATTTTGCATTTAATGGAACTCGGGCTTTTGATGACTGGTTTGTTTTTTTTTTTATTTATTTCTGAAGAGAGGAAGGATATTTTGTGAAATCTAAGTTTTGCATAATATCCTGCTGCCTTCCAGAGGGCCTTTTGCCCACAAAAGACAAAAAATAGCCATTCAACCTAACCTTTGTCATGATCGCTCAACAGCATTTTATTTTAACAATGATCTGCCTGGAAAACAAGATTCCTCCTTGCCAGGCAGTGCCATCCACAATTTGTATTCTCTTTATATGAATGAAAAAGACATTACAGCTGCCCAGATTTATGGCTTCTATGTGTGCTGGAGATGAGAACATCTGCATTTTTGCAGGTGATATAGGAGTGTACCTACTACCTGATCTTTTAGTAGCTGTGGAGAAAAGCCTGTAGAGATTTTATTTCCTCTTTCAAGGCATATTTTTAGGGCTGGCAAAATGTGGCAGGCTGAGGGCCATCAAAAGCTCACTCTGAACACCCGTTGACTCCAGGTCCTGTAAACAGATGGCCTCCATCCCCAGACCAGATGTGACACAATATTGAAATTTCCCTAAGTTGTCCTGACCAAGGTGTTTATTCCTACCCTGAATAAACCACAGTGAAAGGATCATGAAGATGCCAGACCAGCTCCATTCTCTGTGGTGTCCTGGTTCAGAAAGTGGCCGGGATCAAATGATGCAGTCAAAGGTACAAGAAATCCACATTTTAGTATCCCAGAGGAGAATTTTTTTCTCTGAGTTCACGAGGTGATGCCTGGGTCCTGCCTGAGAGTCTCTGTACCCTCCACAGAGGCAGAAATACTGGGAACTGTGTTCTCCTGAGCCTACCTGGGCCTTCCCCTCCTGATACACATGCCCATGCCTTCCTCCAGCCCCACAGCACTCCTGATCACCGAGATATGCTGCAGCAAGGTTGTCTCCTCTTCGCCCTTTTAAATGTATTTTGCAGTTTCATTCAGTGTCCCTGTTTTCCTGTAATAAAGTCAAACTGCTCACTTTATCTCCTCTTTGTCTCCTTGGTCGCTCCCTCTCTATCCCCCACACTCCAACTCCTTCTCCACTGTCTCTACAGTGAAATCTCCCCCTGCCTCTCTCTGTTATCACTCCCTGCCACTGAATTCCCCTCGCTCTATCGATTCATTCATGTCTTCACTCCCCTGATGAAAAATCCCTTCCTGCCCTGCTGGTCTGAATGGCTCCTTTAGTGCTGCAGACACCTGTTTGCTGTGGAGAACACTGATTTATTTTGCACGGCTTTACCCGACGGCTGCCAGGTAGTAATGAATTTCGGTCACTGTCACCCAAGGGTAAATGAGAAGCAGTGACGTCAATGTGAAAGCCACACAGCATCCCGTGAGCCACCCAGGCTCTGGCAGTGATTTTATTAACCTGAACAGGTCTGGGTAGTGCAGCAGTGCCTGGGTGACTCACGCTGGATCCAAGTGAGGTGAAACCTCAGCTACTTGGGAAGGTGAATTTTTCCCTCTCTGATCTGATAAAAGATCTCTTTATATTTAGGGCTGAGAAGACATCTCAGTGTCCTCCAGGCTGCACAAGGTGCTTGTTTCAGATGGCAGGTGCTTTTATAGGCATTCAAGGGACTCCTGGTCCTTCGAGGAATCAGGAGCAGACACGGCTCTGGCTGGTGAACACAGATGGTTTCCTCATAGGAGCTCAAGCCAAACGTCTTGCACTCAGTGTGTGCTTGAGGAAATGTGTTTCCCTCTAAATGTGCCCAGGCAGACTGAAGATGTGAATTTTAGGTTTTCTCAAGGATGTTTTCCTGCAGCAATGCTGCTAATGCATCGCAGTCCCACTCTTCCCCCCACGGGTCTTTCTTCTCTGCTTTGCCATTTGAATCAATACAGGCATTTTATCACATTACCGAAACAGGATGTTTAAAGCAGCTTTACTTAGAATCACTAAATCATTTCAGCTGGAAAAGACCTCTAAGATCATTGAGTCCAGCCATTAATCCAGCACTGCCAAGCCCCCACTAAACCATGTCTCCAAGTGCCACGCCTACACATTTTTTAAGTCGCTCCAGGGGTGGTGACTCCACCATTGCCCTGGGCAGCCTGTGCCAGTGCTTGAATCCATTTGCTCTGGTAGGAACTTACAGAGAGTTGCTGTTTGGTAACTCCCTCTGGGAACATTCCGTGAACTGTTCTTGTACTGTCAGTGCTGTCTCAAAGATGCGACAGGTTTATTTTCTGCCTGCGAACCACGGGGGAGATGGAAAAAGAGACAATCTTTCGTACCAGGTATCATAGATGTACATACAATCACGACTGGTATGCAGGCCTCGCATGGAGATTGATGAATCACTGTTCCTTATAATAAAATACTCAGGGGAAGCCAGTGAAATGATTATACAGCATGTGTAAGGGCAAGGCAGAACCTCTTCTCCCACCATGGCAGCCACTGGGCTCACAGGTAGAGGAGGTGGTGAGGCTGAAAGCAATAAAAAGGGTCCAAGAGGAGACTGGACTGTTCACTGCAGAAAAAGCCATCAATGGCTATTAAATGCAATGATGAAACATCCTAGAGGGCACTGGGTACATAACCTATAACTTCCACACTTGCTCCTTCCCAGGACACGTGCTACCAGCCACCGCTGGGAGCAGGCTGCTGGGCTGAGCATCGTTATCTGTTCAGTATCCTTGTTCTTACATTCCTCTGCAAAAAATCCTCCACATTACCCCGAGTCCTGTTTTAAAGAGGAGGGTGAGAGCAGAGGATGATTTCAGACCTGGCATAACTTGACCAAGAGTAAAACTTTGCGGGACACAGCCATCTGGAGGCAGGACACGTTAGCGCTGACACAGCACAGGCAGAGAGATGCTCACTCAGTCGCTTCCAGAGCAAGAGCTGAGGAGCCCCGGGGGATGGTGCCCACTCCTGTGCAACACAACAGAATCAACAGATCCATCCCTCTTCTAATAATCATCAACCCTCTTGATGGGTCAGCACCTTCACTGCAATGACCCTGAGCATCCCAGAAAGAAGAATGCCCTACAAAGGGAAACTCCTGCCTGCTGGAATTTTACATATTATTCTTATGGATGCTGGGATTCAAACCAGGATGGAAGCTGGCTGGTGAGTTATCTGCAACACCAGCAGCCCCAGTATGGTTCCTGTGTCTCCTCCTGCACTCCCCCCACCACAGCACATGCCACACACAACACCACCTGAGCTCTTTTGACTTGAAATATCTAAAAGAACAGGGAGAATGAAAGGCTTGACTGGGTTTCCAGTGCATTGTGATGCTGTTGCTGTAAAGAATCAGAGAACTATCAGTGTACATTTTCTAGGAAAACCAGTGCAGTTCAGTTTACCTTTGTGATTATATTAGGCAAGAAAATAAATCCTTGGCGTCTGCTACAAGAACAAATAAAAGAGCAGCTAGAAGCAGGTATAACAAAAGGGAGTGCTGGAGCCCTCTGGGAAAGTCAGCTTCCAGGAAAGTACAGCTTGCCTGGCACATGTGGGGATCATGTAAGACTTTCCCAAACTTTCTGGGAATGAATGACTACTGGTCTGGTCAGCCCAGGGGCACAGGAACTGCAGTAGTTGCTTTCTCTGCCTGCTAAACATCTTTAGGCACAGTCCTCAGACTCAGAACTGACACAACATGTCTGCAAAGTCAATGCAGCCTCATGTGACTGCCCACCCCCAGGTTCCCCTGCCAGACCCTGAATGAGGCTCCTGACTGCCCTGACTTAGGGATTTTTTTCCTCCCTTAGCTTGAAACAACCAGGAAATATTTTAAAGTATTTCAGCAATAAAGATGGATGCAGCACTTGCAGATAACATTTTTCCGAGTGAGGAATCTACACCAGAGCCTTCCTGTTTGGTGTCTCTTGCTGATTGCAAGACACCCACAGAAGAAATAAATACCCAGAGCACACTGGAGAGGAGCTGGCTCAGGAATGCCAGAGCAGGGGGCACTGATTAGCTTGTGATTATCCTCACCCCATGGGGTAGGAGAAGGCTCATGGAGCTGCAATGTGACCTTTCATTTTAAATGTGACCTTTAGTTTTCTATGCCCAACCTTTTCCTCTTACCTCATTGCACCCTGACTAAGACAGAGGGTTTAAGTTGCAAACTGGTGTGTGTGCATGAATTATCCAAAGATAATTTATTTTTAAAAATACATATGAAATATTTCTGCACCTGAAAGGTCCAGGAATTAACAGCTTGTCCCCGTATGCCTTACCCTTGTCTCTGTGAGGTTTTATGATACTGAGGAGCACAAGCTGCTGTGTGCACTGTAGGATAAAATCACCAAACTTAAATCACTCCTTTATCAGGCAGCATTTCCCAGCTGCAGCCCTCTGCCAGGCTCTCTGGGTCCAACCTGCAGAGCAGTGAGCAGTGGTCTTTCCCTGCCCCTGCCAAAGGTGGCTGTTTGGTGCCTGGCCAAGTACCAGAGATCACATCCTCAAGCAGAGCCACCAGGGAGGATTTCCAGGCTGGCTCCTGTGCTTCATGAAACAGGCTTGGCCACAGCCT